TTTGCCTTTAACAAATTCCAAGCTTTTTTCTTTTTATGATTGCAAAAGATATCGAGTTCCTTAACACGTAACAACTAGGTGTTGTTCGGAGGTTCAAATAGGCCTAGTTTATTATTTTGCTTAAAACTCATGGGGGAGGGGGGATTGGTATGACCGAAAGCTATCCCCAAAGTATTTGGAATATTTTGGGTTACAATTTGCCGTGGGTAGCCTTTTGAACCGATTTAAAAATCTTAAAGGCCTTATGTTTTGGTTATGGATCTCTGACGTCTCCAAGCCGTTCTAGGACGGTCGTAACCTTTTAATTTGGGTGTTGCCCAATAGGCTTGTTTCCCCGAGTCATTCGGGCTTACCCGAGACAACCGTTCCCGAATGGAGATGGCCGTGGCCTTTTAGTTCGGGTGTTTCCCAATAGGCTTATCACCCCGAGTCATCCGGGCTTACCCGAGAGAACTATTGCCGAATGGGGATGGACGTAGCTTCTAAAGTTCGGGCACTGCCTAATAGGCTTTGTGCCCTTGGGCTTCGCTATCTCGGGCCGTCCGAATCTGCCTTGGACGACAATCCCCGAGTGAGGTGGCCCTTGGGCTTGATGCTTTTAGGGGACCAAATGTAAGAAAGATTTTTTTTTTGAAAAAGGGGCAGAATATTTATCCGCAAGGTAGAAACTTCCTTTCATTTTTGTGCGTAATGAACAAGGTTACATATGTGTACACGCTTTGTGTCATGGCTCGGGCGGTCTATGTGGGCACGGTTCATTTGACCGTTTGACCCTTAAAGTAAATCCTATCGATTGATCCTAGGCTATTCATTGACCACAAAGTTTCTTTCTCTGCTAAAATCATTATCCGAGGATGATGCCCCCAAATGTTCGAGGCCGATCATAGAGAAGCCTCGGATACTGTTAAAGTGATCCTTGACATCGGTTTATAACTGGTCTTCGATTTGAAGTTAGTACGATCCATTGTTGCCTCATTAAAAAGCTTGCCGAAAAGCCCATTTGGGACAAAAATGGTTCA